AAAAAGTAGCTAAGACACATGAATTCCTAGTTGCTTTTTATAACATGTTAGCCAAAAACAAAACAAAACAAAACAAAACAAAACAAAACAAAACAAAAAAAAAAAAAAAAAAAAAAAAAACAAAAAACAAACAAACAAAAAAAAAACCTATAAAGCAACACAAAGTATGGACTACTGGACTCTTTTAGAATATTTTGCTGAGTTAACACCCCTATAATATTCAAATGACGGAATTAAACAAAAAAGGGGATAGAGATGAATGTCCATTATGTATCTCTGTATTCAAAGTGGTTGGGATAGACATATAGTTGCATTCTCTTAATGAATAGCGGGATTTGTTCTAATAGTGTTTGCAAATAGGATATCATGTCTGCATCTTCTATAGCAATTAACCACTAGGAAGAAAGTATGCAATGTGTTAATTATTAAAACTGTCCTACCAATTTGATTTGAAACTGTCTTATTGCTATTTGTTTCTCAATAAAATCATGGAAAAAAAACCCCACAAAATCCTACTCAACCAAATCAAATCATGAACCTGAAGGGAAGTATGCAAAAAGATACCCCCATTTTTGCCTGAATGGTGGCTAGCCTTGGTCTGTATGAAGACAGAGTCCAGGAATTCTCCTATATACATTTTCTTTTAGATTAAACTTATTTTACCTAAAAAAGGCTAAGGTTCTCAATTCAAATCGAAGATACAAGCAGTATTTGCTTTCTTCTTAAATTTCCCTTGTAAATTTTGTATCTATCATCTGTCAAAATCCTATGTTATAAAAAATAATCTTATGCTTTATGATCTTGTCACTTACATTCTGAAAAACATGACCATAGACTCTTCTAAGTAAATATTAAATATCTAAATCATTTTGTTGATCAAATTTCTCTAAGTAGCTTTTTCTCCCCATCATTAAGTATTAAATACTGGGCCTTCTCAATGCCCTAGATCTTTTTTAATTTTCTTTTTTGTTCATTTTGAGATGGAATCTTACTAGGTCATTGTACTGGGCTTGAATTTCCAATCCTTGGAATCTCTCAGTGTGCTGGGATTACAGGCATGTGCAATAAAGAGTTTTCAAAGGTATAAACATTTATTTCAACCACCTATCACTTTCTGTTCAATTAGGACTTGATAAACCAGCAGGACAGAAACAAAGAAAGGAAAAAAATTCTATCTAAACAGCAAAGGATCCAATCAGATATGGTTAATCAGTTACACACTCAGAAAAGAAAAGCCTGGCATTTGGCCCATGCCTGTAATCCCAGCCCTGGTCAGACCAAAGGATTTCCATGAGTTTGAGATCAGGCTGAACTAAATAGTGACAGATAGACACACAAACAAATAAATAAGCAAAACCACTCAAAAAACTAACACATACAGACCTACAGAGAAGAAAGGAGTGTGTGCAATGACAATGGAAGAAGATCTTTAATATGGAGTCACTACAATCACAGATTTAAAAAAGCTCTCTCCAAATGAAGGCTTCAAAGCAGAAATACTGCCAGTAGTGGAGGAACTGACTATTTTCTGACATTGTCTCACTCTTGTGTTGGGCTCCACAGTCATTAAATGTACTTTTGTCAGGAACAAGCACTGAACTCCTACTTATGCTGCACCTGATTTCTGGGTGGATACAAACACCTAGATGTCAGGACACCTGAGTCCCTCAAAACAGAGGAGAAAGAAAGAGCAACCAGGGCAATTTAAAAGGCGATGTTGAAATGGAGATGCAAAATTAAAATCTGAATACTAAGCTATTTCTCTAGCTCCCTCATTACCAATTCTGGCCTCAAGAAGGCTTCAGCAGAACCTGACTTCCAACTTTTATCTGGGCCCTGTGACAGCTGAAACAAACTTTATTTTGGGTTTTCTTCTATCCCTGCTATAAATTAAAGCACTTCTGTATATTGGATGAAAGCAGGCCAGCTGTCCTGCCAACTTAACCAAATTGTGAATAAAAGCATATTCCCAGTTTTATTGGTGTTCCTATGCTCTCACTGGTAAATAGTAAAATGAATCCAGATATCTGTGGTCAGATTCGAAGCTCTGGCTGGATTCCCAATAATATGTATACATAACACAGAAATAAAATAGTCCCAAATTCAGAAGAAGTATCTTGATCTCAGTTTAGGATATTTGAGCAAAGCCTCCACAACCATGCACACGAGCAACAGGTGATAGGCAAACCAGTCATAGTCCCAGAATATTTCATCACAGAACTCCCAAGGGAACAGAAAATGGGACCAAACAGAGAAAATATGGAGAACCATTGTGAAGGTTGAAGAGAGTTTGCTCAGAAAGATCCTTGTAGAGTTAAAGTCATAACAGATTGGACTAAAAAAATCATGTAAAAATAGACACTTCATCAACTGGGTGATCTACAGTAAGCTTTTCTGAACCCATGTTTCTTGTAGTAGGGAAGGAGTCCTTATTGCATGCAAGAGATCCAGCAGATAAAATATTTTCATGATGCCTAGCAGACAAAGCTGCCATGAAGGAAGGACATGCTCACCGATGGGGCAGCACTGCAAGGGAAGACAATGATTGGACAGGACAACACATGGGTCAGGTAGGTCAGGCAGGTGCAGAGAAATCAATATGCACAAGGTCCTTTGCAGTGATTCATGGTCTCCTTGCCCATGTTTGTGATCAGGGAGAATGGAGAGAAAAAGGAAAAACAGAAAGTTCAACATAGTGCAGCACAGTACCTGGAGTTTGAGATCCAGAGTTGCCTGATGCTCCCTGTTCATCTGCATCCTGTCCTGCTCCATCTTCATGGTCAGCTGTCTGACAAACTCCTGATGACTCTTCTCTTTCTGCTCCAGCATCTCCTGAGTCTTCCTTTGCATTTCCTCCAGCATTTTCAAGGCAGCCTCTGCAGATTCAGCTTTTGCACGTTGCACTGAGAGGAATGAAATATTCATGGGTTACTGTGTGGCCTCGATCCTCCTTCTTCATACATTTACATGTTGCGGCTGTTGAGTGCATTATAAAAGAAGATACACTTTTGATTTCCTTGATCCAGCTTAAGTAAATGAGATTTTTCTTAAATTATTTAAATAGTTAAGAGCTTCTTAGGCCAAGTAGCCTCTTGACTCACTCCTCACCTTCAATCTCTTTTTCTCTCTCTATGAGGGTCTGGTCTGTCTGTAGAATGGCATTAATCATGTCCTCCTTGGACTGCATGTATTTCTGCAGAACCTCTTCAGCCTTGCAAACCAGAGAACACAAGGTTAACAGTAGCAAGTGACAGTAAGCATTCATTTCTGTCTTTTGCTCATCACATATTCTTTTAGGAGCTGTGCCACTTGGTCCTGTGGGTCCCGAAGACTAAGATTTTCTGTTCACAACAATGGCACATGCTCAGCCTGCCCAGCAATTACTCCCATCCTGTGCCCCAAGAATCAATGTCCTTTATACAAAGCTTGTGGTGAGAAACTTGTGTTATTTGAGACTCAATGCACCAAATTTAAAACTATCAATGGTGTGGTCATGACAGGTTAAGTATGCTAAAAAATGAAACCTTCATGGAGACAACAGAGCAGAGAAGAAAGTGGAAGGAGTAAACAGCCAAGGAAATGTGGGTCAGGAAGGTAACAGACAGTGAAGAAGACGGCAACTCCACTGTTAATTGAGTGTTCTCTCTCTGAGGAGCACCTAGGGCAGATCTAGCCTAATACGCTTCTCGTGGGTGTCACTGACTGACAGTGTGACTGTAGTGTAGAGTAGGGTACATCTCTGAGCCATCATGATTGGTCATACTGATGTGGACACTGGCACAACAGCACAGGTGAGTGGCTCACCTGTATCCCCTTCTTGGGCACCTCATGGTACTTTTTCTTCAGGTCTTGCACCTTCTGAAGGAGGAGCCGGTAGCCCCCTGATTTAGAGTAAATTCCTTGTTCCACTTCTTTTTCTAGGGGACTGAAAATATCCTGAAGTAAAGCTGAGCAACGATCTGAAGATGCTTTCTTATTCCGTTCGCAGAACTTATCAGATTTCTTTTGTAGCTGTGTCTTTAATACAAAAATAAATAAAAATTATAGCCAGGCAGACAAAACATTTTGTAGTCAGAGTTCCTGAGAACACTTCTTTAAAAACAATGTGACCTAAGCTTTGTATCAAGGCTTTTTTGTAAACTTTAACTTTACTAAAGTTTAATTTCTGGGCAGAGATTGTGAGCATTATGTCATACGTTAGTAGTAAGCTTTGAATTTTTCAGTTTAGAACAATGATTGCATGGGATAAATGGACCACAAAATGAGCCTTAATTCAATAATTTAGAACAATATTTTCTTTGTTTTTTTCTTAAATGTCAAGCAGGCAAACAGTGTACACATAATTAATTAGAAGTTCTGCTTAGTAATTATATTATGAATAATGGTATGCATTTAGTTGTAAAAGCTAATCAAAAAAGAAAAATGTTTTGAAACTTTCAGTCCATAGTAATAAAATTGTTTCTCCTTACTATTATGACTACCCATTGGTAGCTAATATCATTTTGAAATCTAGGAATAATTACTGATTTCATTTCCTTGTAGTACCTTGCCTTCTCTATATTCTCTTGAGATAAAAATTACCTACTGCCAATTTCCTTTGAAACTTTTGGTCAACATCTTTGAAGGAATGTTTCATGAAGATCCGGATGTCCTTCCTCTCACAGGCCCTGTGCAGGTCCAGCAGCTCCTACAGCATGTCTGTAGGCAGCTACACCTTCTGCCCCATCTGCTGGTCATAGTGTGCCAAGGCCTTCTGCACTGCAGCTGTGTTCTCTATCTGGGCCAGGGCCAGGACTGCGTTCTCCATGCAGGGCAGACCCCCACTGGTGATGGCAGCGATGTAGGTCTGCACCAGGGTCTCTAAACCTGCAAGTAAGGAGGTGGTGTTGATGCTTGTTACAGGTTGAGCAGAAAACAGTCTTTGTTGTGTGTAATTCTGAGTTTTCAGTTACCTCCTATTTGTCTCAAAGTGTCATTGGTCTATTTACCTGTGTACTTGGTAATTCACTAGAAATACAGAGCCTCTGCTTCTTCTTAGACCTACTGTATTTGACCTTCCTCATTAGGAGACCCCTGGTGATGTGTGTGCACACTAAAGCCTGAGATTCCTGGGCCTAAACTACATAGGACTAGATTAGCCTTATCCACCCACTTCAATTCTATGTACCCTTGAGACTTGAACTGTGTCTCATCTGTATCTGTATCATCATCTCTGTTAGCAGTACAAATTTGATCATTATTTATAGATCAAGAAGTGCTATCCCAATCAAACGTTGTTGCCCTTTTGTTTATTGAAATGAACAGCATTATTCAAGAGCAGACTAAATGGATATTCATTAGGCACCTGAGGAATATAGCCATGAGATGTTTTAATTTTTTAATTTAAATTAATTTAATTTTAAATTTAAATAATCATATTTTCTAGTAGCTACCATATTACAGACTGTGTTTCTGGTTTACTTACTGCATTTAAAGCAATAAGCTTTTTTCCTATAGGTTTTCCTCTCTCTTTCCACCAAGAATTGTGACTAACGTAATGTATTGTAAATGTTGAGGCCATCTAAACATGCATGAAAGAGTAGTTCACTTGCAAATCTGAAACTGTGTTATTTTGTTGTTGTTGTTGTTCCTTAGCCTCAGGAATTAGTGAAGCTAATGGGAAGGGTACTCACGAGGTCCGTTGACCTGGATGCCTCCCGGCAGAGTTTTAGTCCTGGAAGAGCTGAAGATGTAAGAGCAGAATTCTGCAGCTTGTTCCACGAATTCCGGGTCCAGCTCATCCTCACGCAGTGTCTCCAGCTGGGCCAGCTTCTTTCGCTGAGCGGGTCTATCGAAGACAAAGCATTTCTTCTTCG